AGATGAGGATAAGATTTGCAGATGGGTGGTCAGACAGGAGAACATCACAGCCTCTCACAAAGTGGCATCAATCTAGAAAAGTAGATTTTATAATTTGGTAATAACCCTCGTGCTACCCAGAAAAGACGTGGTGCAGGTGCTTCATTCCTATTATCTTAGCAACATGAAGCAATTCAGGCAGCAGCTGTGACTAAGCCAGAATGAGATATTTGCAGCCCACACCTGGTAGACAAGTCTTTCAGGGGATGGAGTCCAGCACGCCCTCAGCTACCATCTCTCCAAAAGCAAAGCTGTTCCTGTCATTAACTTCATTTCCACAACTTGCCCTTCGTAAGCCCTGCTCTCCCCACCTTTGATGAACTTCTCTCCCTTTGCAGCCCCTCAGTCACAAACCAATGGAAACACAGAGCATGTAACACAAATGCTGATAAAACTCCTGTTGGTGCGAAACAGCTTGAGGTCCCATCTCATGTGAGAAGCACAAAACTGAAAGAGATTTCAGTCAGCCTTTGCCCCGTGGTACCAGTGGATACAGCCCTGCCGACAGATGCCTGCATTGGCATGTGAGAGGGATTTTAGAGCTCACCTATACAGTCACTTCTAGTTCAGTGCCATTACTGAGACCTCTCTCCGCCTCTCTTCCTTCTTGCATTCCTCCCTCCCTGCAATCATCCCTCTCCTGAATCTGCAAATAATCCAATGTCTTTATGTCACCTCCTCCTCAAACGCATAAATTTCCCCACAATAGCAAGTGGGGAATGAATCCTAGTTTTGCATCATGATTTCTTAACACTCACACTGAAGGGTCATGGAAGGAGGGCAGTCAATGAAACCTGCAGAGGGTGGGTAGAAATGGGCCAGGCCTAAAACATCGTTTGTGCCATGGGAAAATGAGTCAGTGCATTCACAACCCTCTACTCTCCCAGCCTGACAGAGACATCGAGGGCAGCTCAAGTGTTATTCAGCAACCCTAAATTGCTGAAGTACAATTGGTCGTCGATGCGTTCCTGCCATGTTAAGCCAGGTGTGGCAGCAGGTAGTAAATCTCTCCCAATCCCATCTCTGCCACACGCCCTGCTCAGCCCAGTCGCTGCATTTCCCTGTAGCTTTCATGCAGAACTACAGGGGCTTCAGGCTGTCTCAGAAAAGTCAGATCTCCCATTAGGTAGACAGAGCTGGGGAAGCAGAGCCAGGCCAGCAGATACATGCTCACATCGCAGACAAACTTCCCATCCAAACATGGGCCCAAGAGCAAGCAAACTGCATGGGAGACCACTACCCTAGGGGGGCTAAGAAGAACATTTGACCATGAGTTTGTACAAGATGTGGTCAGGCTTTCACTAATCTCAGACCAGCGCTGAGCTCATCTGCAAGCCTGCATGGGCTACCACAACTCACAGGGGTCACACAGCCCTATTGTGCGCCCCAGAACCACAAAGAGAGGTTTAAGAATGGGAACAATAGAGCACAAAATAAAGTTTGCTGAAGAGAAACCAAAAGGGGCAGTTAAAAAAAAAAATAAAAATGTTGCAGATGGCATAAAAGTTGTAAAAAGAAATACTGAAGGCTGAAAGCAAACACATGCTGCCAGGGAAGAAAATCAAACTGCTGTGATAGTACAGAAGGGCAAAGAGGCAACTGGAAGTGAGGAGGTATCTTTCAAATAATTGACGTTTTCTGTTCCTACGTTAGTTGCCTCATGAAAAAGAAAACTGTCAGGACCCAGCAGGGACAACACGATCCAGGTACAAAGAGAGGATATGGAGGCATGCAACTCTAACAGCAAAACTAAATTCTTTTTATCCATGTCCATCACACATAGATACTAATAGAAATCTAAGATATAAGCAGCTTCAAGACCATAAAGGCAGTGCTATGATACAGTCATTGCTTGCACCCAGCTCTTATTTTACCCTCCCTGTACAGATCTCAGACTTACTGGGACTTGGCACACAAAGGAAGACTCCCCCACAACTGAATTAAGCCTCTGCGAAAATTCTCCTTTACTTATCTCACTAAAAATGCAAACAAGGAAACACTGCTAAATAAATATCCACACTTGAGAACTGTGATTTCATTGGCATCAAACCAATCACTGCTCTATGGCTTAGTGCTTCCATTGCAGAACAGTCCTGCGTTCGCTCCAGCTGCTCTTGATTAAAACTGCTGCTTCCTACATGCAGAAAAGAAAGGTAAATTAGGTTAGGTAAAGTTATACACATTTCAGGGAAGGTAAATTGGGGCAGGAAAAGCTATATCATCTGTCTTGTTGATATGTCCATCACTGGATGAGGTCGGAGTTCAGGGAGAGGTTTGCACACTGGGGAGTCTCATCAGGGCAGCAGAGAGGAGATCTGAAAGCTGTCCTCCAGCATCCTCATCTCACATCCTTTTTACATGTGGTTTGCCACGAAGACCAAGGAGGTTGAACGGTTACAAGCTGAGATATAGGCGGGGGGTATGAAAAGGACATGTCTGTGGAAAAAACAGAGACATTTATGTTGGTTCCTTAAGACTTCATTTTCAGTTCCCAAAAACATGAGAGATTGTTCCTAGGTTAGTCATCACACGGTTTATGGTCTCTGTGGATTTCTTGTAGCAGTAAAAGTGGCCACTGGTTCAGAAAGCAAGTGAACAATACTCTCAGACCTCCTAACAGTGCAAGTGTAGTTTCAAATCGACAGGGCTGACCCTTATCTTGGTGCAGATCTTCCAAAGAATGCGTAAGCAGGTCACATCCAGCTCTGTGACTGCAGATTTGCGTACCTACTTGTTAAATGTCACCTGGAGAAAGTTTTTTTATAAATAAGGCAGTACTTGGTTCAACACGCAACTTGTCTCACTTCTGCTTGCTTAAGCATTCGGTTACAAGCAGGGAACATGTGAAAATAAACATTACTGGCTTTGAGATGGTACTGTGCCCACACCTACAAATTCCAGAGGGGTCAACAAGAACCTGACACTGAAGGCTTGTTTCTGACAGTTCATGCAAGAGCATCAATGCTCACCTCCATGCACTAACAGGTCTTCACTCAAGGCTACTTCTGAACTGCAAAGGAGAAGACAAGAAAGCCAGAGGTCTCAGAGACCTGCCTACCTTCAGACAGCCCATTCCTTGGCCACCCCAGGAAAAAAACCCAGTCCTGATTTGTCTCCTCCTCCAGTAACTTCACAGTAAACCCTGCTCTGGACACTCAGCACTCCCACTGCACACTATTAAAAGAAGTATCACAGAGACAAACAAAAAGGCAGAGGAGCTGATTAAGAGTGGGGATAAAGAGGCCAAAGAGCACCAAATATTACTAGCAGCTAGAAGTAAAACTCCACCATCACATCACCCCTTGCCAGAACTTCACATGAGATTCTGCTTGTTTTCTACCTCCTTCTCTATAATCATTTTTGAGTTGCACAAAGACAAAAACCACATACATCTAACAGTCAAACCTCCTGAATAATGAGCTTAATAAAACTGAAAAAGAAGTACTGTGAAATCTGTTCTTCCTCTTTCTTGGCAAGGTTTCTGTTCATGTTGGTATCGTGACTGGCAGCACTGGAGCAGAAGTGTTTAGCAGTGCCCTAGCCCTGTTTAGCTGGGTACAGAAGTCCTCCTGACAGATCAGCAGCCAGGTTTAAGAAACATGACCAGCTTTAAGGTAACTGACTTCAGAAAAGCAGAGCTCACACATGGTCCTGGGAGCCCAGCCCAGCCTTGAAAGACTGCTTAGAAAGAACCAGGCTGTTACAACGTTGGGTCTTCAGCCATTAGTTCTGGCTGTACCATGAAACTCACACCATTGAAAGCATTTGGCATCCAGCACTCCAAGAACAGTGCTACTTGTGTCAGCTGCTGTGCCACGTTCTCAATTCTTTCTGTGAACAGGTCCTCCCAAAGCACACGCCTTCTATAGCACCAGGTATGAAAGGATGAGGTGCTGTGGGTATCCAGCAATGCTTCTGCTCCATCCTGCCCTGAAGTACCGTCAGCACTTGGACATCTCTATTATGCACTCAAGTGCTGCAAAAAATAGCTATAATTGTCAGGCACTCCTTACTCCCAAGTACAAAGCAGCTCTGTACTCTATAGCTTCAAGAAAATTGTCTCCTGTATGAGTCAGCTACCTGCTAAAAATCTTTATGTGATTTCAGTTGCTTCCCCTTACAGTGAGGCTGACGCCTTGTGATGTAACACCGCAGTCTGACCTCCCTCTCTGCTTTGTATATAGGTAGACATGCACGGGTGCATACACAGCCACCTACAGATGGTGATGTTACATGCACTCCTAAGAGAGGAGGAATAAAGAGAGAGCCTGCCTGAGGAGAGTCAGAGATCCCGCTCACAAACTGAAAGCCTACCTCAGTTTGTTATGTGACTGACCCTAAGCCCCAGCTTTAAACACCCTTTTGAAGCACTTTCTCCCCACAACAGCACCTTGCTATCACCAGCAAGGAATTTGTTTCAGTTCATAGTAATGTCACACCCCTAGCAGGCAGTGCTTTCTAAACCAGGCTAGGGAAGCTTTAACCCCTTTGTGTCACACGTGTGTCTGATGAAAAGGCTATCCCAAGCGAGACTATCAATAAGCCTGGCTGGACGTCATGTTCAAAGCAGCACACGGAGCCACCTGCAGGCGTTTCGCTTGCATCGTTGATTTCCAGGACGGGAGAAATACAGGCTATGAAGCAACATGCCAGGATTTGCACGGCCAACTCAAGAGCTTTGTGGGCTCAGGATACCCCACCAGATTTCCTCAAGCAACACCACAGCCGGATCAGCAGCCTTCAGCAATCATTACACTACTGAATCTACTCATGGAAACGAAACTGCGTCCTTCGAAGCACCGAGCTGAGCTCCCACACTGAACCCTGAGCCACAGAACCTGCACGACTCCACGCACGCGCGCTCCTTAGCACGTTTCACGATAGCGCGCTTCGCTTGACGGCAGTGTGGCATCGCGCTTTTACGACAGCGTCGCAGCTCTCTACCCACCCGCCGGCTGCCGCGCCTCACGGCGGCGCGGCGACGATGGCGTCTCCGTTCAGCGGGGTGCTGCAGCTGACGGACCTGGATGACTACATCGGGCCCTCGCAGGTGGGTGCTCGGGGGGCAAACCAACGCCTGGAGAACCGCGTGGCCAGCCTTAATCTGCTCAAAGATACTGACAGGGCAAGGGAGCTGCTGGGAGACAAAGCGAGTCGCAGCTGTGGAAATAGGATGAGGAGCCGTAAGGCGCACAAACAATAAAAATGGCACAAAATGCTGCAGCGCCCTTGGGAGTCGGTCATAGAACAGTACAAAAATCTGCAGGCAGCCCTTCCGAGGCTGTCAGGGTCGTTCCGACACGACACGGAACTTCATTAGCAATGCTGCATGGCCACGCCTCCATCCGTTGCAATGTGCAGTGAGGAACGGGAGCTCAGCTGTCAGATGGGGGGGGGGGGATGGCACTGCAGGAGAGCCTGTGTTCCTGTCAGGGCTCCTTAGAACACAGCTCTGTTGTTCAGAAGGGGCGCAGTCACCTCTGGCTTTGGTGTGATGCTGACGAAGTGTTCATTCTGTAAAAAAGGGGTAAGATTCTGCCTTTCTGTTTTCCCTTGGTGGCCATAGGCACAGTCAGTAGATCCAGCATAATTTAAAGCGGAGTGATGGACGTTCACTCGAGAATGATTGCTTGGGTTTGATAATTCTGGTTTATTTTAAACCTGCCTTCCCCATTTCACCGCTCATCTCTTCAACTTCTGCCTTTTATTTCTCTTTTAGGAATGTGTCAAACCTGTAAAGGTGGAAAAAAAGCCTGGGAAAGCAGCAGCTAAGATCAAAATCGAAGCCGATGGGAGCTATTTTCAGATCACTCAGGTATGCCTGACTTTTCTTTACTAGTGTAAAACATCTGGACACTGCTAATGGATTGTTATGTATTTAAACAGGACACAGCTATTTAAGGACCAAGATGTGAGAATGCTGATGACAACAGCAAAACTTGTTACAAACCTTTTTTTTTCCAAAGTCTACCTTTTAAATTATTAGGTTTTGTAAGTCAGTTTTGTTACATGCTCTGAGTCACTGGCATTGATTACTAGTGGGTTTTATTCTAAGAGCAGATAAGCTGAGAATTCTTGTTTTGCTATCCTACATTATTTGAGACAATGTCCTTTCCTACTGCATGATTTCATACAGTGAAGTCCTTACTCAGAAAAAGAGATTAAATTAAATACTCTTAAATTTTTCTCTCATTTTTTTTATGTTATACTTTAAAATTTGTTAAACACCATGCAGAATTTGTAAGCTAGGATTTTCCTGTTTACCCAGAAAAGATCACAGAATCACAGATTAGAAAGCATCACACACACTGATACTTTGCCATACAGTTTTCCCTCTGCAAGTTTCGCACACACCAAAATTGCATTCAGCATCAATTGAGAATAGTAACACATTTGTAATCCAGTTGCACAATCTCTTTAGAAGGAGAGAAATTCAAGATTCCTTTGGAGAAATGGTTGCAGTATTGAATAGTATAAGCAGCATCTGGGAGGGGTGGCAAAGCTGGCGTGCTCTGTGCTGTGCAGAGTTCAGTGCATGCTGGAGGTTGGTGCTTCAAGGCTTAGGAACTGTGGTTTATGGTTGTGTGGTTAAAACTGCAGCTGCAGTCTGTAGCAAGAAGGGCCATATTTGCACCTGGGAAAGAATAATGCCAGTATTCTGAAGCAGCATCAGCCCGCCTGATAGCAGAAATGATTGTGGCCAGAGCAACTGTTCTATTCTTAATAGAAAAAAAGCAAGTTATTGCTCTTGCTCTTGCTAAAGTTTTCCTAAAGTTTCTCAGCATATTTGCTTAGGCACGCCAAGAAATTCCGTGAAGAATGGAATTCTTCTTTCTTTGTAGAATCTTCTTTCTTTGAAGAAATCTTTGAAAGATGCCTGTCTTCCTCCTTGTCTTACTAAAAAAAAATACTTCTGCTCTTGATAAGCCAGGAGGGCAAAGAGGACAGTATCTTTGTTACTAAACACAGTAAAGGTGAGAAACTGCTACCCTGCTCAATTCCGTACTGTGACCAAAACTGTGTCTCATCTGTTTCTTCCCAGGATGGAGGAGCACAGAAACTGGAGAAGGCTAAAATTACTCTGAACGACTGTTTAGCTTGCAGTGGCTGCATTACATCAGCAGAAAGTGTCTTAATCACTCAACAGAGCCATGAAGAGTTCTACAAAACTCTATCTTTTAACAAGGTAGGTGATGAGACAGGGGTAGGTAGGCTGCAGAATTAATAGATGTTAATGTAGGTGTGATGCATCTGCAGAAGCACGCATTGCAGCTGTGCACATAAAATCTGAATACATTCTCAGTACAGAGTAGATTTTTTTCTAATTTCTAAAAAGTTGTCATAGGTTTGGAAATAGCTTTTTAACATAGTAAGTTACTGCATTAGGAACTTGGGAGTAATACTGGGAGATATTTGCTGAAGTTCTAGCATGCTGCACTGCTGCATGTGCTGTATTAATACTGTCTGAACAGCTCTTTTCTATTATTATTTTTATTTTTTTTAAGACTGCAGCTCCCAGTGAACAGAAGTTGGTGGTGGTTTCTGTTTCACCACAGTCCAGGGCTTCATTAGCTGCAAAATGTAAAATGAGTGTTCTGGAAACAGCAAAGAAGTTGACTGCGTTCTTAAAGAGTCAAGGCAAGTGCTGCATTGTGCCCTAGCATCACAGAGGGGACTGCTGGCTGTACATCAGGCACAGCTTTTATGAGCTCACCAAGGGGATATGAATTAAACACAAACTTTGTGCAACTTCAGTCACAACATAAACTTGGAGTAATGGAGGAAAGGAGCTTTAAGTTATTCTCATGCCTCCTATGACTTCTGCTCTTGTCTTACTGTGCTGATGTGCTGGGGAAAATGGTTCACTCTCAAGCACAGGTTGATAGCTGTGAATAGGACGTGTAGCTTGCTGCTTGCATCTTCTTTGTGAACTTTAATATGCATGCTGTACCACTTAGGTGTGCACTACGTATTTGACACAACTTTCTCAAGAAACTTCAGCCTGCTGGAGAGCCAAAAAGAGTTTGTAAAACGCTTTCGAAAGCAATCTGAAGACAAAAAGGCTTTGCCAATGCTAGCTTCTGCCTGTCCAGGTACGAAATAGTAGTACATAATATATATATATAGATAGATATAGATATATATAATATAACATTGTATATACATACAATAGGAAAAAGTAGTACAAAATTAGTTACAGGACTAATAAGATGTCATTCTAGTAATACACCCATACAAGAACTCAGAAAGCTACTCAGAAAAGTTCATATGGGTTAATTTGCTTAAAATGTTACTCTTTACAAAGAGATCTTGGTGTTAATAGTGGTAATGGTCTATAGAAATACCTACTGATCTCTATAAATGGAATTGTTACACCTCTTTGCCTTTTGTACTGAGTCTGAAAATGGTTATGAATGGGTGGCGAGGCTGGGGTTGGCTTTGGGCAGAGTGAAGGGGTGCTTGTTATTTATATATACACCTTTTTATGTATATTTATATTTATTGATTGCAACTATTTGCTAACTGTTCTCTTTTCAGGTTGGATCTGCTATGCAGAGAAAACCCATGGCAGTTTCATCATTCCTTACATCAGCACCACTAAGTCTCCACAGCAGATCATGGGCTCCTTGATAAAGGGCCATTTTGCAGAGCAGCAGGTAAGGTGTATTGAACGCAAGCTGATACATTTTCCTGTACTGTTTACATTAAAGATTGAAGATAATTTGGTTTTATCTTGCAAATTGCCAGCAAAGGCACCATCACTCCCACTTCTGTGATTCCTATGGAGAAACTTGCAACTGGGACAGCAGCACTAAGTTCACGCTTCATGGATTACTTGAAATCTCTGTATCTTATTCTGAAAGTCTAAGGAATCTGATTTTTCATGATTCTTGTGCTTATATCTCACTTGTTTCTGTGTGGGTTTTTTTCCTGCTGTCCAAGGCTGTGAACAAGTTAAAATAAATTATCCCAAAATGAAACTTGGGTCAGCGCGTACGTGCAGATCATGTCTTTGTCTAAAAACTGCTTGCTCTTTCCCAGCTTTGTGTTCTTTCAGTTTTACTTAGTTCTGTTCTCACTCTTTAACCTTTGGAATCTTTCCAAGTGCAAATTTGGTGCTTAAAGTCTAGTGCTATAGCCCAGAGTTGTCCAGCAGCAAACTTAAGCACCATGTATGCTTGTATGATTTATTGTCCATTAATGAGCACTGGCTTAACAGTTGCATTAAACAAATGCTGACACATGCATGCTTATTACAAAAATTGGCAGCTGTTAAGAATATTTGGCACAAGATAGTGAAACAATAGCCTTGAGTCAATGACATATTTCCTCAGTTTGTGCTTATTTTGCTGGATGGCCATGAGGATTTTGTCCAACTTGTGATCGTTTCTTAGTTGCTGATGCAGGGGCTGCATCTTAGTTAGCATGGAAGAAACGTGTCATCTAACTGAACAGTTAGGATTTCTTCACTGATTGACTTTGGATCATTTGCACTAGGAAAAGTGGGGTGGAAAGACCATGGGAGACCTTACTGTTGTCATTTTCTACAGACTAGAATTGGGTTCTATGAGAGAAAAAATGTATTTTTTCATGTTCAGTAATAAAGGACAGTATTTCCAGAAGCATGGCACTGTTAGTTTCATCATTCTCATTTATACTTGGAAAACACCTCCCACAAGACAGTTTTGATATTGACCAATGCAACTGCTTTGTCTTTTTCCAGCACTTAACACCTAATAAGATATACCACGTAACAGTGATGCCCTGCTATGACAAGAAGCTGGAGGCTTCAAGGCCAGACTTCTTCAACCAAGAGTTCCAGACCCGCGATGTGGATTGTGTGATCACCACAGGTAGGCAGAGCCAGAGGCAGCCTAGATCATTTCTAGACTGGTTTTAATGATCCTTTGTCAGTGATGGATGTAATGCATGGATAGTGCTCTATAATTTATCTCCAGAAATGCCACTCACGTCGTGGTACAGAGTTTATATGCAGGCTTTGATACTGATCCGTGGATTTCATTTTTTTAATCTCCAAAATAAGCTTTTTGTACCTGTGGTTCTGTTTTAGGAGAAGTGCTGAAGTTGTTGGAACAAGAAAAAGTGTCTCTCTCAGATGTAGAACCTGCTCCTTTGGATTCCATGTAAGAAATCTCATTTGCACCTTCAAGCATGTTCATTTCCATCCAGTATCCATATCAAGTTCAGCAGAATTCACTTCCTACTACTATTTTACTACACATAAGGCTGCATGTGTTGGCATTTTATGGTCTTTTTTTTTTGTCAGTAATTTCAAATCACTACAGCTGTGCATTAAGTACATTAGCTACAGCACACAATGAACCTGTAACTATTTGCTGGATCCTAGCAGTCCAGGGATTAGCAGTTCTTACTCTAAATAATCAGAACTGTAAAACTGCTCTGTAAGAGTATGATTGCAAAATGATTATGTAGAGAAGTACAAACTGTACCACAACCATTTACTGTTACAGTATAGCAGGTGGAACCCCCATAAATTCTAACTGCAAACTTAGAAACATGGAGGAGTGTAGATCAGTGATACAAGTGTGCTGTAACAAAGCCTGTTACAGGGCTGTACTCAGTTTGCTTATATTCCTTCATTATCTGAGCTACTGTAAAGATTGAAGCAAAATATTCAGGTCACAACTCATCTGAAGGAGTCTGTGAAAACATGAGAACTTAAACATGTGCAAACCAGATGAGACTTCAGTTGCATTAACTGAAAGCTAACATCTGGTTGAGTGATGACTGCAAAGATCTGAGAGCCTGGAGAAATATTGAAATCAGATTTTAGCCCTCTGAATTGACATTCAGTAGTGGCTCCACACTGATCACTAAACCAAAGCATTCTCTTTCTAGGAAATGTCTTTGTAGCACTTTATTACCATAAAAAAGAGAAAGGCTACATACGTAGCAACCTTTATAGAGTATTAACAGTTACTGACAACAAGTCTACTGCTCAGAGTTTTCAGAAGGGATTTTGGTAGCCCAGATATGCAGCAGATAGCACACACACAGGACGTGACAGTGGTCTGACAGCTGTCTCCCTTTGCAGATGTGACACTGTGGTTTATTTCTAAATAGGGCTTAATTTTTTTCCCAGTCCTGAGTGCAGCTGGCAGCCTTTGCTGAGGAGATGCCTGATTAGCACGTGTATGTTCCCAGAACCATAGCAGAAGTGTCCTTACACGAGGCCTGTTTCATAGTTCTGCTTTCATTGTTTTCAGCATTGGTCACACTTCTTGGTGTATGCCTGTAAGGTGTTCTACTGGCACAGATTTATGCATTCTGAGGTTATGAATTCCTCCAGTATTGTCTTTTTCTAAAATGGTTTGTGCACAAATTCCTTTCACATCTAAAAATTATCCTCCACTGTAATAAAGGTCTGCATGGCTGTGTCCCAAAAAGTCAACTTCAGCAGTTGCCCACATAAATAAGCATTTTATTCTACCTGCTTTATTGTTATACTGCGAGCAGAAAATCAGGGAGATTATAAAAACATTCTCAAGTGTTTGGACTCAGAAAATAACATTATGGAAGTGTCAGTTATAAGATAGAACAAAATGTCTAATTACTTGATAAAAATCTCTGGCTGACTTCTTAGGAGTACATTGTGAGGGCAGTACCTCATGCTTGTGGTGATAAAGCGCCTCTGTAACCTTTTGCTAGCTTTAACTTACTCAGTTTATAAGCAGTAAATTGACTACCTATAAACAGCACGTATTCCTCAGGACTTGGAGCACTAACATAAGCAGCCCAATGGCTGTTGTTCTGCTTTATCCTCCAGCACGTGGAAAAGCCCATTGAGAGGTTATTACATTTGGCAGCGAGCATGAGATGAAGTGCCAGAAATCCCAGGACTTTTGCTGTTATAACTGCTTGCTTCAGGCCAGCACTGATGCTTACTGGCAGCCTCTTTTCAAGAGAGTTGCAGTACGTGAGGCCAGACACACTGAAACATTTCATTAATGAAGCTCAGTTCCTGTAAACAAGATCAAATTAAAAATAGTTTCTGAATGCCCTCACAGGCTAACGTGTTGCCTTCTGCAGTTTTTCTAAAGCTGAGATTTTATCTGCAAGAGGCAGCATCTTCCATTTGGCTTGAAGCTATTTGGCCTGCATTCAAGTGTTTTCCCTTCTGCAGCTGTTAGTAGAAAAATGCAAGTGTCACTGCCTGATGAGCACTTAGAAGCATATCCCTCATCTTATTATTCTCTCATAACAAAAGCTATTGTTGTAGCTTCCATCTGGTAAGCTGTTTTCAAGAAACACTATCTCGACCTCTGAATACTTGGTTGTGTTTTGGCAAATCAGTGGGATGGAATTATTTGTGCAGAACTTGAACATGTAGGTTCTGTTATTACACGAGCGTGGCTGTACAACACCAGCAGTGTGCTGAACTTGAAGCAGGGTCCTGCTGAGGACAACCATGTACAGGGCAAATGCCCTGGCATTGCGAGGTTTGTTCATCTGTACACTGTCTAACTTTAACCACATGAAACCACAGCAAATAAGGTTTCATCTCTGTGCTTGGAATCGCAGCACCAGAACCTTCCAGAAGTGTTCTCTCCTGTCCTGGCAACCACATAAAAGTACCTGGTTCAGTAATGAGCTCAGCTTTTGGTGGTGCTGCAAAAAAGACTTCAGGACTGCTGAAATGTCTCCTGATGACTTCTCTCTGATTGTGTTTTCCAAGGGAGGCATAGGCCACACAGGTCCATACCATCATCATTTCCCTCCTTCCATTTCCAAGTGTAATCTAAGCTGTTCGTAGAGCCACTGAACAGTAAACTAACAAAAAATGTTGATTTGAGACTTCTCAAGCAATTGCCCTCTAACTGAAATGTTCCCAAATATTTTTGGCGTGTGAAGATGAAGTTGGCAGCAGGGTCAGATCCAGTGAGGGTGTTTCCACAGAGTTTGACCCAAAGAACATTAGACAGCATAGGGTTAAACCTGCAGAGCCCGAGACCATAAATAATCCGTTCCCAGGAGAAAGGGAAAGGGCTGAAGCTCAGAGAGAGCTGGTGCCTGGCTTGTTCTGCTTTTGAATTCCCTGGATGAATAATTCCACTATCAAAAGTCCCACAAGACTCGCAACATCGTGTTTCTATTAGTAGTACTGAAGATATTTTGGCACTGAGCTAATGAAGCTTCTCTTTGTGTGAAGGAGCAGTGGGCTTCGTGCTGTCTGTTCCATTGAATCACTAAAACCACTTCTTTCCTCCCTTTCCCCAGGTTTAATAGTGCCAGAGAGGAGGAACTCACTGGCCACTCGGGAGGTGGCTCTGGTGGCTATTTGGAGCACATATACAAGTATGCAGCCAAGGAACTCTTTGGCATTGAAGTGGATACAATTCAGTACAAGCCTTTAAAGTATGAAGTTTAAAGCTTTTACAACAAGTACTGTTTTTTTTTCTTATTGCAATTCCTTTTATGCTGCTATCTTTCAGATGGGCTTCACTTTCTTTGCTTAGTTACACGTTTTCCTTTGAGGCATGGGAATCAGCTTCCCACTCCCACAGTTGCTGAGCCATAAATCAGCCAGCACTCCGTGCAGCCTGGCCTTTGGAGACTCTGAGCCCCTTCACCACCCACACACTTTTGGCCTGATAGATTTTCCCAGTATCAAGTTGCAGACAACTTTCAGAGCAATTTAGAAGACAGAGCACATAGGGATCTCAGTTGTCTCACCTGCAATCAGGCTGATAAAAGAGCTTTGTTACTAATCTAGATATCACAGAACAAAAATCTCGTGTCAGGACTTTGGAGCCGTGCTGTAACTGTTGTGGTTAAGATAGAAAATCACTTAAGTTTGGGTACAGAGGCCAAAAAGCTGCAATTCCTGCTAGCTTCCCAGATCTTAACGTACCATTTGTAGTGAGTTGTATCCTTGATAAGCATTATTAATGGTTGAAATTCTTTGGTGTACAAAACAGTCCCTCACAGTCTCAATACAAAATAGTAAAAGTCAAATTACTTTTATCAAGAACAGGCATCCCCATTAATGTTAGGAGTCTGGAAGTCTTCAGTGGTCATTTGCTCCCTAGTTTCATGATCCACTGCAATTTAAGAGCTTCCTTCAGTGCACTCACTGACATATGAGTTGACTGAAGCCAGCTGAGGTGGCCTGTCACAATGAAACCTTAGTTCAGTCTAATTTGCTTAGGTTTTAAGGATTTATTCAACACAAGTGTTCAACAAACTCAGTTCAGTGGGTGCTCAAACAGGAAAAGCCTGAAAAGGATTTGTAAGCTGGTTCCTTCATCTGTTTTGTTTGGGTGGCAAAGAACGAGGACAGCTTTCCTGAGTAAGGATTCACAAAGAACTTTGTTTCAACACAGGGTTCTTTGAAGTTTATATAGAAGCTAATTCGGATAAGACATTTTCTCTCTTCTTCCTCAGAAACAAGGACTTCCAAGAGGTGACACTGGAGAAGGATGGAGCAGTTCTGCTCCAGTTTGCTCTGGCATACGGGTTTCGAAACATACAAAACTTAGTGCAGAAGTTGAAGCGGGGGAAGTCACCCTATCACTACGTGGAAGTCATGGCCTGCCCATCAGGTGAGACTGCGTAGAGACTTCCCTGTTACAGCCCGTAGGAATCACACAAAATTATAACTAAAATATAAGAAACAGTGACAGCTTCTCTTGTTCTTGTTACTGTGGCAAGGCCTTCAAACACCTTGGCACGTGATAGTCACAGCATCAGAGTTCAAAGCAGCATGCGTGTTTTCCTAACTGGAAGCCAGCAATTCTTCAGGATTTAAGTAATTACAGTTAAGTTCCATGTTGAAATTTCACAGGTAGTTCTTTTAAAGAAGCCTTCCTGACTTTAAGCTCTACAGTACATCAAGACATTCATCCTCCAAAACTGCACAAGTGTTACACTTCCAGAGAATGCTGCTTGTAGTTGGGGGAGGTCTTTCTTGCCATCCCTAATCTGCTTCTTGCAAGATCTCCATTTTTCCCCTTCAGGTTCTTTCTGAATCTATGAGTACAGTGTATGCAGAGTTCTAACCTAGCCTGAAGCAATGCTGAGCTGCCACTCTTGGCTATCTGCAAACATCTGCTCTATTCCAGAGGGCCCATGCTACTTCCAACCTAGAAGGCTGCTCAGCACCAAAAAGTTAAGCATTGTTTAAGGCTTCCACGCACTGTGCAGTCCAACACTTACATCACACCTACAGCACAAGAACAAATTCAGAACACATCCTAAGGATGTTTATCTTACCTTCAGTTGAGGCTGCAGGGCTGTTCTCACCTAGCTGCCATTCTGGGCTCTTTTTTTATGGAAAGAGAAAGAACCAGCCCTCCCTCCATCTTATCTTTCTTTCACTGGCATTTCCCAGGATGCCCTGAGCCCTCTGTCACAGCTGGGCTGAATTAGCATTGGTCACACCAGGCCAATGATCTCCCCTCTGGGGCTGCTACCTGTCCTGCTGGTGTTAGATTGCTGGGGAATAAACCACAATTACAGTGGTGTTTTCATTTCTATTCACAGGTGGAAAGTCAGTTGGTAATTTAATTTTTTTTTTTTTTTTAGTTTTTCCTGATAACTAATTTGTAAAACTCTGATATTTCCCCACTTTGTTGTACTTAGGTTGTTTAAATGGAGGCGGCCAGATCAAAGTGGAAGGTGAACCTAGCAAGGACTGGCTTCAGCAAGTTGAGAAGCTGTATGAGTCCCTTAAGACTGAAATTCCAGAGGAGAACCGGACTGTAACTGCCCTGTATGAGCAGTGGCTGGGTGGCACTGAGTCTGAAAAGGCAGGGAAAGCTCTGCATACAGAATACCATGCCGTGGAAAAAGCAAGCACTGGATTTAACATCAAGTGGTGAAGGCTGATGCTGGAAGCAGACTGTGAAGCCTGCATATTCTTAGTGCCTTTTAAGTTGATTCTATTTACGATTCTCAAGAGACAGCCACAGCTCTGTGCCATCGTTTCTGTGCCATCACTGGGGAATTGCAGTTTCTCACTCTCAGTCAGGGAGAAGGTAATGTGCATACAGACAGGCAGTGTTAATTCCTCAAGCTTTATGACAACTGAAGTGATACGAATAAAAACTAAACAGTGATTAAAATTTGTTAAAAGAAGCACTAATGTAATTTAGGATAAATCTGCACTCCCTTTGCAATCCTATTGCTACCAGAACTGATGGATTTAAGGTACTGAAGGACTTAGTTTGGACATTTTCCTTTAGTTACAAATGATCTAATTAGACCTTGGGCTCTGTGTTTCTGTGTCACTGCCCCTGACTGGATGCCCTTGAAGCACAGCTGCAGCATCTTTGCACTGTCAGAGTGGTGAGCCCCAGCAGCCTGCAGTTGTGAGAGCAACATTAGCTCCAGGGCTGCTGAAATGTGAATTGAAAGAATGCTTAAAAAAAAACAAAAAGCCATCTACATCTACCCTGGCTCTAAGTCAGTTACTGATTAATAATATCCTTGGAATCAGAGAAAACCATTTTTACATCCTATCAAATGAGAATGGCTGGCCAGTTTTCTTTTTGACCAGTCTTTGGTGTCTCTGGAAGGTGTCAATTTGTAAAGGTTAACAGAAGACTGAAGGATGTAAGCATTACTGCAGGTGATCACCAGAACAATGCAAGTGGTTAGCAAAAGTACACCTGGTTTAAAGCTGTGTGCTGTAATGCCTTGCCAGGTGACCTGGATGCAAATAATTCACTGTGAGATTATGTGTGCTTGTCTCACTGTCTGTATTTCTACATATGGATATTTCCTGAACTATTTATGAGTTCTGTGTAACTGCTTTTGTCTGCTGAATCTGACTGTCAGGTTTCACAAAGTGGCAGAGTGCATAGGAAGGTGGCAGTGGGAGATTTGCAGCTGTACCTTAATTCAGGGTGAAGGGATGCTGGCAGATGTGGAACCACCTTGTGCCCGCTGCAGCTGCAAGTGAGTACTAGCTTAAAAATCCCATTCTCACTTAATATTTCTCCTTTTCCCAGTTACTGCTATGTGGGGAAGAACGACTGCAGGAAGTAAAATGGATGAAAACTGAATGCAAAGCAGCCACTTTGCTTTGCTCTTTCAGAACAGACATGGAGCTGGTTACTGCACGTAGCCCAGACTCAAACCTTGGCCAGGCCCTCTTCAGAGATAACCCTCACTGTTCCTGCAGACCTTGTGCTTAGGGCTGTCAAGAAGCAAAACTGTCAGACCTTAACCTGCCTCATTTAACAGCTTCTCTGGCAGCCCTTCCCTGCATCCTCCTTCAATCTTCATTAAAAATGAGCCAACAATGTAAAAGATAATTGTAATGGTTTTAATTAAAGGCTTTACATACTTCAGGTGTTGCTGATCAAGCAGTAGATTCACAGTGTTCATAAGGCAGAAATCTCCCTCTGCTCCCCCATCCTTTCCCCACTCATTTTGCAAGCAGTGGTTGTGCTCAATGCCCTTTTCCATGCGTAGTTCTGTAAGGCTGTTATGCTAAACCATAACATTGTTCTCTACAGCAAGAGAGAGATGCCAAACTAAGTGCCGAATCCATAAACTTTATACATCAGTGCAAAAGAAACACGTTCTGTTTCTACTGAGAACATGCACATGTAGACAGAAGTGCACAATTAAGTACAGCTGAATGAGCTGCAGGTTAAACAACCAAGGATCCACATTTTGCCTTCTCCAGTGACCAGGTTACTGAATAGCACAGTACTGAAGCTGCCAGAGGACTCTCCACCCAGAGCACCCCATGCAGCTCTCCCAGGTATTCGTTGTCACCATGGCATCAAGAATAGCTTAGATTTCACCTCTGAGCTGCACACAGCTGCTGCCAACATGAGCAAGTCCAGTGCTGGGCCAGGATCCCTCCAGGCATCCCAGTGCTGCTCACAGCAAAGCACCCAGGCGGTGCCCAATGACACTCGGCATCGCCTGCAGCTGCACCCTTAGGGCATCTCTGAAACAACAGCACTGAGGCAACTCGTGCAGCAGGGCTGATTCTCCCCCTCCTGGAGGGAAGTGTAAATTTTAACAACGTAACATTAAAAAAAAAAGAAAGCAAAAAAGAAAACCTCAATCAAGTTTCTAGCAAGGGAAGGAATGCCACAAACCAGGTTCGGTGCTACGGATGCTATTCACAGTCCATGCATGAGAGGTTCTGAAGTTGTTTCTAATCCAGTGTCAGCGGCTTCGTATCAGCACAGTCAAAAAGACATCATACAGTGTATTATTCAGGGCCCATCTCCTCTATTTTCTCCACTGTTTGCATTTCAGCTGCACAAGCCGGGCCGAAGCTCAGCAACATCACTCCGTGCATCACAGCACTGTGCACAGCTGAGGTAAAGGCAGAAGGATGGGCTGCCCAGCAGCATCCTGCCCACACCACCACATGGGGTTAATGCAGCCAAGCACAGAGCCACCAGCACGCCCTGTCTGCCCTCTAAAAAGAAAAAGGCATCGCTACGTTTTGTGATGCAACGCCCCAGCAAAAAACTCCACGCTGTTCTCAGATTTTAAATGAAAAGAATTAAAAAATGAAAAATAAAAAAATATGATATTGGTTTTGCACAACAGCACTGATTTTGCACGTGCTGCAGGCTGCAAGCTGCAGGGAGTGGGAGTCCCATGCTGCCATCCCAGAGGCACAGCAATGTCAATGCTTCATACAATAGTTTTCCTGTGTTCTACCTTGGGAAAAAGAAATGTAATGGACACAGAGTGGTGCAGTTCCTGGGTCCCTGCCCTGTCCCAGCCGACACCTGAGCGGGGCCATCTGTGTGCAGAGCTCCGTGCTGCACTGTGGGTTTTGGACAGCAGAGCCCAGATGGTGCCTGTGCTCCATGGGCCCCTGTGTGGTGGGCTGGTGTAGCCTCACTTCTTCTCCAGGAAAGGGGCGAAGAGCCCCCAGTCGAAGGCAAGCATGGCCTGGGGATGGGGCCGCTCCTTGGGCTTCTTGAAGTTGTCCTTCTCAGTCCGTAGAGCCCGCAGCACTTCCACAGGCTCCTTCCTGCCTGTGAACTTCTGGACAGCCTCCTCCCTGCAGGGGCAATGGCTGCACTGGGACCAGGGTGCGACAGAGACAGATGGGGACAGGGCTCAGCCCCAGGAGTGAGAGACACTGGAAGGACACTGGGTTACCCTCCCTTCCATCTGGGTTTGGTTTCCCATTGGAAAAGCCACTGGGAGAAGGGGGGGGATGCAAGGATGGGGAGCGGACTGGGAGCAAAAGCAACAGCGTGGGGACAGAGCTGCTCCATCCCATCCCACCCAGTTCAGGACCAACCCACAAGCATGCCCCCTGCACCGATGCTACTTACGTGACCCTGAGGAAGGGGTTGTAGAGGAACTCCTCCTGCAGCGTGGAGGGCACCGTGGGCAGATCCTCATCATCCCGCTGCTGTGAGGAACCAGAGATGTTCAAACCCTGCCGGCATCAGGCAGCCCCTCACCATCCCACAGGGCACAGCTGCTTACTCTGGCCCACGCGAGCTTCTTCTTCACTGCTTCATTCTCTGGTTCCACTTTCAGGGCAAACTTCAGGTTCCGGACAGTGCATTCGTGGCCACAGAACACCTTCTGCAAGGGCAGCATAGAGCACCCAGTGTTATAAGTGCTCCCAAACCCGCCGTGCCCCACGTGTCTCCATCATTATTCTGGGGCCTCTCTAAGCTGAGGCTGAGCTTTGAGGAGGGGGGGAGGCGGGGGAGGAAGGGCACTCACCGTCTCCTTGGGCAGATTCCCCAGCACCTGGGTGAAGTTGGCATACATCTGCTCCGCTGTCCCCTCCAGGAACCGCCCGCAGCCCCCCACAAACAGCGTGTCACCTGCAGGGATAGGGTGAGGCATTGTCCCAAAGCCGGGGGGTACAAAGGGTTCACCCCACGGGATCAGTGGGTGCCCATCAAGAGTTACCTGAGAACAGCGCCGGTGCATCCGGGGACCCATCCTCCCACATGAAGTAGCACATGTGGCCCGAAGTGTGGCAGGGAGTGAAGAGGCACCGCACACGGATGGCCCCGAACTGCAGGGATGGAGATAAGTGCTGGACACGAGATGGGCTCAGAACCGCCCCCCGCCCCTCCCTCCCCAGTGCTCCACACACCGTCAGCTCCTCGTCGGGGGCCACGCGGTGCGTTAGGGCCCCGATGCGCTCATCCGCACCGTACACCCGCAGCCCCGGGCACAGCCTGACCAGCTCCTCGTTGCCCCGAGCGTGGTCCCTATGGTGGCAGAGGGGCAATGGGCACCGGGTACCCCCCACAACGGGGCACTGCCCGCGCCCTCCCAGCGTCTGCGCTTACCAGTGGTGATGCGTGCTGAGGACGGCGCGGAGAACAACATCCTCCTTCCGGACGATCTCCAACAGCTGAAAGGGACAAAAGCGGGGCGTGAAGGGAGGAGGCGACAGCGCAGCGCCGGGTCCGCCGCACGGCACGCAGAGGGCAGCGGGGTCAGGGAGAGAAAAACCTCAGCGCGGCCGGGACGAAGGAAGGCGCTGCGCCCGAGCGCTCGGGGCGGGGCAGGAGGGGCCGCTCCGCGGGGCGGGGGCACTTTATGACCGATGGCTCTTTATGGCCGATGGCACTTTATGGCCGATGGCACTTTACGGCCGCCGTTCCCGCAGCCCGCCGCCTCCAGCCCTCAAAGCCCCGAGAGGAAGGAAACGGCCAAGCGAGAGCGAGGAACGCGCGAACAGAAGCGATACCGCCGGCCGGCATAGCGCGCAGCTCCGGCGCCTCTCACCCGTTTGGGGACGGCTGCATCCACCGCGACCGCATCCCGGGTGCTCTCCTCGATCACCAGGTACATGTAGTTGTCCTCCAGCACCGAGATCACCTTCACCTTCATGTTCCGCACAGCCCGCGGCTCCACCGCCGCGCACCCACGCGGAACGCCGCCCCCACCTGCGGGCAGCGCCGCCCGGCGCAGTGCGGGCAGTGGGGCGGAGCTCGGAGCTTCCTCCGGCCCCCCCCCCCCCGGGCTGGTTCTTTCGCTCCCTCCCTTCTTCCCACTGTCATTCCCTCTTTACTTCCTTTTGTTCCCTCCTTCCATCGCTTCATCCTTCCCTCTTCAGGCCGGCTATTTCCTCCTTCTCCTTTCCTTCTTCCCTCCCCTCCTTTTCCTTCTTCCTCCCATTCCCTCCCCTTCTTCTCTCCGCTCCCCCAGCGCAGGGGTTGCAGTGCAGTAGGTGCGGTTCCTCCCCGTGGACCCCCAGGGCTGAGGCAGTAATTGAAGAAAGCCTCACGTGTTCCCAAATGTGCCACACTGGGATTTAGAAGAAAGCTGCTTTAAGTTGGCTGACTTGAATCGCTGGTACAAAGAAATAAGAGCAGAAGCTGGAGATGAACCTTTTCCAGACTGCCACACTGTTCACAGCTGTGTTTATTTCCTCAGCCACCAGTACAGTCATGCTTAGTTGTAGCAGCACAGAATTTAAGAAGTCAGTAACATTTTAGGTACCTTTTTTTTTTTTTTCTTCCTGAAAAACATTTAAAAATCATTATTTTTTTTTAAACAAATAAAGAAGTGGTGCTCCACCAAACCCTGCTCACACACTGCCACTTTAGACCAGGGTCACAGCGTGGAATGCAGGTGGTAATGAGCTCAGTACAGCACTGCAGGTTAAGCATTAACCACAGCAGCACACTGCAGCTGCTCCCACAGGAACCTCCCAGCAGACAAATCCCTCCTTCCTTTCTGCGTACAGCTACAAGTGCAGCTCACCCTCAGGAGCACGCAAGCAGGCTTCAGCTAACAGAGAAAGGGCAGAAGCAACAGTGCAATCTCTGCATGGAAAAGTTACCGCAGCTTTACGCCACTGGGAAGAGGTTTAACGCAGCCAGAAGCAGCACTTTGAATAAGCAGCAGCATGGAAGGAAAGTTTTAATTTCAGTCGGCAGTTACTGCATTTTATTCCTGTTTTAAATGGTCGCTTCAAACAGCCCCAGTGCCACACTCTGCATTCCCATCAGGTGCCCACAGCAACAGCAGGGATTTGTTCCTAGGTCTCAAGGTCCGTGCCACCCCCACTCCAGCCCTGAGCCGAGTACCAACACCTGTAAAATGAGCTGCATGTGACACGTGTGACAGCTTGAGAGCCAGCAGAGGGATAAATATTCTTCATCATAATATAAATATGCTGTAGAATATCTCAACAAGGGCAAAGTGCTTTTTTTTTTTTTTTTTCTTAATTAAAACAAACTAGAAACCTAAATAGGACTGTCTGAACCACGACAGATTTCTGAAACATCTGAACAGTCTAAGTTACTATTAGATGGCCATAAAGTGACACAGGCAGAGTGCTCAGTCCTTTGGGACACGGAAGTTGTCCTTCTCTTTCCTGATGGCCCCCATGGTGCGGATGGGGTCGGTCTCCCCAGCGTGCTCCTGAACTGTCTTCTCCCTGCCAGGAGAGAACACCCAGAATGGTAAATGCAAAGCCTGCAAGATAAAATCTTGGCCATGAAGTCACTGCTACCACATTTTGCCTGCATCATGGGGATAAGCTTCATTTAAGACCAAAGACTCAGGACTTTGGCGTGAGCTTATCAGCTCCTGCACCTTGAGTGGCATCATACCACACCCATCTACCAAGTCCTGTGTGATGAAGGAATATTATCACACAGCAAGGTTTGTTCTAACTCCTGGGTCAGAGATGCTCACCACAACTCCCCACGTTTCACAGCACCAAGCCTCTGCCATGACAAGTGTTTTACCCAACTTCCTTTAGAATGCAAGAGTTTTAAGGAGGGTCTTGAGAGCATCAGAATGTGTGAATCAGGAGAGTAACTCATACTTATGGCTCTTTCTCCTCACCTTCCCCACATCCCCCCCTCCAAACAAGACTCAGAAGGGCCATTCCCACACGTCCATACCTCACTCGCATGAAGGGGTTGTACGTAAACTCTTCTGCAATGGTGGAGGGTATGGTTGGCTCTCCACTGTCATATTTGGCCTAGAACAAGGAAAACAGTTCTGCTTGATGAGGAATGTTTTGGAGAACAAGAAGTGTCCTATGTATGAGCTACAAAGGGTAAAGTGCTCCATCTAACTGCCTGATCTGCTCCTCAGCCACACCATTGGACAGGCATGATCAAGGCACTGAGAAACCTGGGTCACAGGTCCCGAGTCTTTCCTGGGACAAAGCTGATCCTCTTAGAGGGGGAGAAATTCAGCCTCAGACATTCCCAAGAAGGGTCACATCTCCATAAAAAGCAAACTGTGCTTGCTATGTTGCTCACACCACCCTGTTCTCCAGCACATTGTTCCCCCGATCACATAACTGTACTGTCACCTCTCATCTCAACTCCCTCTCCTCAGCTTCTCTTTTCTCTCCACATTGCCCCCTTTTTTCTACCTCCTCAGAGAGGCTCCAGCAGCACCCAGCAGGTTGAGGGAAAGGATGAACATACTCACCTTGGCCCAAGCAAGCTTTTCCTGGATGCTGACATTGTTGGGTTCAACGTGTCGAGCAAATTTGAGGTTGTTGATAGTGTATTCATGACCACAGTAAACTCTCTAGGAAGAAAAAGTCCCGCAAGGTATGAAGGTAGACTGCTGGGTTCCATCAATGTTATCATACACAGCAGGAACAGAACGATCCTGCCAGAACACACCAGATGCAGGCAAAATGCCAGGAGCTATGTGCCATCTTATAGGTAAGCCTCATGAAAGAACCCAGGTGTCCCATCTCTGTCCCAGCCTTCGTTTCAATAAGCACTCTCTGCTCTTCCCTCATAAAACACAAATGTATTTGGAGTACATATTTCATTCTCAAAGGAATCCAGCTACTCAGCATCAAAGGCAGTAAGCATGCGTTCCTTCAGCGCATGAGAGATGTTCTCATCGAACAACAGCATTATTGGGAAGGCATTTTTCTTGAGGCCTGCAGTAACTTCTGACAGGTTAACTTACTAGCACAAAAGTTTCGTACCGTTTCAGGATCTAAGCTGCCCAAGATCTCAATCAGTGCTCTGTACATTTCCTCAGGGGTTCCCTCGAAGAATTTCCCACAGCCAGCCACGAACAGCGTGTCACCTGCAAGCAAGGTGTGACATGGCATCAGGGCCACACACAGTTCACAGCCACACTGTGGAAGTTAGGCTAGCTGCACTGGTAATAAGGAATGAATGCCCATCCAGAGCCACGAGCACACAGGCAGAGGGGGAGCTTATTTCTCTGCAACACAGACTGTCAGTGATGTAACCTCCCAACTCCTCACCTGTAAAAACTGCAGGTGGCTCGGAGCTATTTGGCTTAGTCACATAATAACAGATGTGTCCAGAAGTGTGACACGGCGTACAGAGGCATTTCACATTAAGAGATCCCACCTGAGAAGAAGGCAGAAGACTAGAGCTTAGGCTATTGTCTGGTAGCATTTGTACCATTAGAAAAGAATTGCAACTTATTACAATGGCCTGGCAGTCCTACAGGCAAATTCTCACGCAGCTGGCCAGTAAACATCAGCTCTTTCCTTGGGAGAGTCCAGCACAAGAATTTTATGGTAGGGACTTGGAAGGGTGCTGTTTCCTCTAACAGGTGTTGTTATAAAGAGAACTGCCAGATTCCTTCATTTGCATGCAGAGTGACTCAGCGTCTGGTCGGCAGCAACAGCAAATAGATCCACAGCAACACAAAATCCTAAACAAAGTTAATCAGGCGTAAAAAGCTCCAAACAAAAATGAAGCTGAGGGGCAGAAGTGGAAGAAGCTCAGGAAAAATGGAGGAATTACACACATTCACAAGGATCATTCCCTGACAACCTTAATTTGCAAATCTTCCCATGTTTTTCTGCACTCCCTTCTTTGCTGCTGACCAGCCCTAGAGAGGCTGATGCACCGCAGGACCAGCAGTGCCACTCACACCAGCCTGCACATGTCACAGCAGTTTATGCAACCTGCCAGCTCATCTACAAACAAACAGCGACATTTCAGCAAGCTCTGCCACTGTAGCTCTGGAAAAGCAATGCAGGCAGCTCGCCCTGCTGGCCCACTTTCTCTTCAGCCTGTATTTCAGCCTTCATTCAGAGAGGACCGCTTGCAATTCTTCAGTGCTAACCAGGCTGTAAGCAGAACACAAGCCCTGTGCTTTCATGCTGTGGCTCTCACTACCCTGCTTAAGGTAGCTATCCAAGGAGAGACAGACACCCAGCATGTCCCTGGCAGTACAGGTGTCTGAGCAATACCAATGCTACCATCAACAAACTACCACCAGCTAGAAGGAGACAGAGGGGTTATGGTACATAGAGCTACAAAAGGGGGAAAGATATAGTTAAATCACCAACCACCCTTGAGAGACATTGAAAAGAAAAAAGAAAAAAGCTGTGACACAAATGGAAGATGTCCCCAGCCAAATCCAGAAGCTCACTCCCTTTACCTTGAGTGACGTAAGGTGAGACACTTTCTGTGTCAATGCTCCAACTCTGCTGTCTCCCCCATACACACGCAATCCTGTCTCCAGCTTTACAAGCTTCTCATTTCCTCCAGCATGATCCCTGGAAGGTCAGAAAAATGGATTTTGGAAAGGATGAAGACAAACTGATTGCAACTGCAGTGGTAATGTCCAGATGATCATCAGTCTCCCAGTATGCAGACATCTAGCACTGTACTCAGAGGGCATGCTACATCAGCACTAGTAGAGATAGTTTCTTTAAGTGCCAGTTAGTAAGTACTGGTGGCTGCAGAGCAGCAAGCTCACAAGAGATTTCAGCATAGGACCTTGGTCACCATCTCTTCTGCAGCTCCCCTCAATTTCACACCCAGTTGGGAAATATCAAATTTAGAGTATCACAGCCGACTGCCCATTAACCACAACACTGAGAGAGCAGGCTAATTGGGATAGATGCAGTTCAGGTACTCAGGTTCAACACTGCAAAACTGCTAAAGCTTTATGTCTCTGTCAGAGTTAATCTGCAAACCTGCTAATGCTCCCGCAACTGTTGACTATGCTTTAGAGGCATGTCCTAGCAGCTCACTGCAAGTGTGCTGCCTTCTGCACTCCACACATACACTTATTTCACTGACCAGCTGGAATAAGTCATCATTTTAAAGCCTAAATGCATTAACACAGAGAACTTGCAGCCTACAGAATGTACCTGGTCACAGGAAAAATTGCTCTTAAGAAAGTCTGGCTTGATCCCAAGCTTTCCCATCTTTGCTGTGCACTCAGCTACTTCATGCTGATTTCTCTGCACTTCACTCTCTGGTGAGCTTCGGCACAAAAAAGGAGCAGACCATGCTTTCTCAGAGCTATTCAGTGGCTGCAGACAAACAGCAGTTGGCATAGCTTAAGCATGCCCAGTCAAGCACATGGATATGCTCTAAGACCTTGATATGAGCAACTTCAAAGCAGCCCTGTGTGTTCACTCATGGACCCATACACACTGCACAGATATGCCAATACAGCAGATAGTTACCAGTGATGGTGTGTGGTCAGGACACTGGTCAGCTTCACGCCATGCTTTTTGACTGCATCCAAAACCTGCAGACGCAGAGCACATTAAGAACATGACAACTCACATGGACTCCCTTAAACAACACTTAAACAACCTGGTAGCTGCTCTGTATGCAACTGCTACGAGGTTTAAGAGCCACACCTCCATGCAAACATCCTGCTGACTATGCAGAGAACTCATCCCTCATCTTGCAGTCATTACACCTCAGGACACAAGCTCTCTGATCCAGCTGGGCTGTGACTAAACTCTCAGCCCTATTTCCTCTTTTCTGCACACAAACAAACTAAAAGGGAAAACAAAATCAGGTCAGTAACTCCTGAAGGCAGGGAGAAGGTGTTTGAGCTCAGAAGTTCGGCACCTGTGAAGCCTTGTCAGTACACAGGAGATGCTAATATTTCCTGACTTTCCTCCAAGCCTGAGTCACCCTGTGACTAATTCTCTTGTGTACGTGGCAGCATGGAAGTATTCTAGCAGTGCACCCACTCCCAGGACAGCAGGCAGCGTTACCTTCTGGGGCTGCACAGGGTCCACTATTGCAGCCTCCTTCGTTTCCTCGTCAATGAGGAGGTACATGTAGTTGTCAGTGAGCGCTGGAAGTATCTCCACCTTCATGTTGGCTTGTGTGACCGTCTTTGACTTCCTCTGCTCGTGCTCTGTGTGCAGGAAGACAGCTCGTACCTGCGCTGGACCTGGAGACCAAAAGCAAAATTCGGGTCGTGGGAGGATCGTGGTGCTCTGCAGCTTCACAGAGAGGAATGGGACACTGCCAGCAGGTGTGTGGACATGCAGGCAAAGTGCTGTACTTTGATCAGGGAGAAGATTTCAAGGGGCAGGAAAACAGAACAGAGAGAGAGCAGTTGGACAAAGGTCAGCCTGGGACAGTGACTTTGCAAAAAACAAAACAAACAAACAAACAAAAAAAAAAAACCGCACAAAATGTCACAACCAAAAGGAATTAAGAGGAGAAATACAAACATTGCTAGGACAGAAGTATCTGGTTCATTAACTGGGGAAATCACAGCTTACACAGTGCTGTGGAGAGAAGATGGGCTCTCTGCACAGCAGCCAGATAGCAGGCGTGCACTGCAGGGAGCTTCCTTATGATGGGCTGCCTTGATGCAACAGCAGTGCTTCCCTATTTGCTTTTGGTTAAATGTTTAATAGAATCCAAGGAGCAAATCTGATTTCAGATGCAAATAACTTGGACTCCCCTTTTCCCCCCACTTTTCCTCATAGATACAAAGTTCTTAAAGAAACAACGCAGTCACAAGAAGCTCTGCCATAAAGGAAAGAAGGGAACAAAGAGGATGATGCCTTTGATGGCTGGGGACCACACAGCCCTGGGTCCATGCCCATACAGAAGAAGAGGCAGCAGTCCATGACAGAAGTCAGTTTACACCCACAGCACAGCACTGAAGGTGCCTGCACTGGTTTGGCTCAGCTCCTGTCTCATTTTGCACTGCTGACCCTAAGGCTCCAACACTTGGTGCTCAGGGAGAGGTCACCACACTGCTAATCAGCCTGTCCCACTCTCCAAGCAGTCTCTGCTCACCTCTGATAAGAGAAAAGGGGCCTGGCAGGGTGACCCAGCCAACACAGTGAGCCCAGAGCTCTGCAGGGACACAACCACAGTGCTGCAAAGCTGAGAGCACAGCTTGGAGCCACACGTGCAGCAGATGCATCAATGCCCCTCTGATCCTGCCCAGGACATCCTCCCCTCCTGCATCCACCAGATCACTTGTTTTGTGGGAAGGTAAAATGAAATGCAGCGCTGAAAGGAATCCTTAAGCACAACAGCATAAGCATGCACTGGGGGTTTGACACAGTGGGCACGTAGTGCTGAAGGAAGCATCCATACCTGCCAAACGTTCCTTTAGAGGAGAAGTGTACTTCTAAAAATAATAATTAAAAAAAAAAGACAAAAAAAACAAACCCTTACTATTGCTTGGTAGGAAAAGAACCCAAACAATTGCTCCTCAGCTTCTCCCTAACTGAAAGCACTTTTGCTTTGGACAAGTTGCCTGTTTCTGTACCAGATGCAAACTGGAAAAGGAAAATCAAAACACAAGAAAGCAGAAACTTAACTTCGAGTTGAAGGAATTACTCACATACTTCAAATGCCTTCTTCCTATGAACCATTTCTAACCTTGGCCACAATCCTGAAGTCTCTCAGCATGTTTAACTCACAATTCTGGCATAACAAACAAACAAACTACACCACAGAAGGAAATGGTTTTCTAAAATGCGATTTCAAGAGAAGAATGAGAAAGCATCCGTGCAACATGAAACCTATTCTCAAGTCCCATCTGCAGCTGAGCTGCACCCTTCAGTCTGATCCAAAGCTCTCACGCACACCCAGCGCTGCTCTTATGAGCAGCTCACACCCAGTTCTGCTCATGGCAGCTCCCCAGCAGTGCACAACCCCTGCACCTAACACAGACAGCAAGTCAAGATCACATGCCCGTCCAAAACTATAAGGTCCACTGGCTCCATTTCCAGTCAGTTTTGTTCCATGTCCCCAGCAGTGCCCTTTGGATCGCATAGCTGTGTTCAGGATGGGTTGCCAGCACAGCCTGACTCTTGGAGGGGCAGAGATTGCAGATGGGCAATGTTAATGCTATCACAGCAACGCACGCACGCAGGAGGCTGAAGGCAGGGAGGCAGCAGGTAGCTAAGCAATAGGTTCCTCCAGAAAAATGGTTGCCTTGTGCATTTTGTTCATAGTATTTTGTTTTACTGTTTTACTACAAAAAAAGGAATGGAAAATTCCTGTTCCAAATGAGGCAGTCACGCACACTGACTGCACACCCATTCCTAGGTGTATATCTCTGCACTGCCCCACAAGTAGAAACACCACGTTTGCTTTCTATACACCCTGCACGTAGATGTGTTTGGACACCAGGTGAGCTGCACCCTATGGAACTCCTGCTTGCTGCCCCTCAGGCAGTCTGCAGCACCCAGCCAGGTTCAGTGCAACTCATGCAGGGTGTGCATCCGCCTACAGCAACTCTGAGCTGCCTGCTCCTCGTGTCAGCACACTCAGGGACAAGGTAGCAGAGGGGCTTCAAGGCTGACAGCAGCTGCAGTGAATTCTGGCTCATTAAGGCCACGTTTTACATACAGAGGCACTGCTAGGCTGAGCTCTGATTCAAAGAGACACTTTCAGAATTCAGGCCCAGATGCAAATGCACAGCCTAGAATTTTTTTTTCCACTTTTTTTTTCCCTTACATTACCAATTCAGTTTCCCATCTAACCCAGTTAAAATTCGACACCTTATCCCTCAACCCCCAATCCTCCAGAGCAACCAGCAGCACTCGGGCGGCCCAGCAACCCTCCAGGATCCTCCCACGTCACTTACTAGCGCAAAAAAACCAACCCCACCACCACCACCAACAGCGCGAGGCTGCAGCTAAACAGACACTGACCTACTTGGGGCTGTGAGTCAGCTTAAAACGGCGCACCCCTGAGCAGCGAAAGAAGAGAAACCATCAGCAAACTGCGCAGCTTTGCTAGGAGGAGCGCCGCCAGCCCCCCGGCCGCCCACACCGAATCCCCGCAGCCCCTCCGCGTCCCCGTAGGAGCAGGTGGGCGCCGGGCGAGGCGCTCCGCCCGCCCCACGTACCGGCTCGGAGCAGGGCCCCGGCTCCCAGCGCAGCCAGGGCGGTGCCGAGGCTCCGCCAGCCCCCGCCAACCATGGTGCGCTCGGCAGCGGCGCGCCCCGCCCGGCCCCGGTTACCTTCGCTCCCCGCCCAGCGGCCGGGTCCGGGGAGGGGGGAGGCGGGCAGCCCCGCTCGGCCCCGGCCCGGAGTGCAGCGGGGGCGGTGCTGAGCTGCCGCCCGCCCCCTGTCCGCCCAGGCGATTCGCTAACCCGGCTCAAAGGGGCTGGGTAAGGAGGCTCACGCCTGTGCTGGGGGAGGGAGCGAAAGGCAGCAGGAAGGAAGGAAGGACGGAAGGAAGGAGTGCGGGTCCGGAGGAGGAGCGCGGAGCTCGGCGGGGTTTGTGCCTCCGGTACGGCAAGGGCGGCCCAAGGGCACCCGGAGAAGGAGAGCGGCGGGGCTGATGGCTTCCTCCAGGCCCCTGGCACGCTTCTGGGAATGGGGCAAGAATATCGTCTGCGTGGGGCGCAACTACGCCGAGCACGCCAAGGAGTTGGGGAACGCGCTGCCCGCCGAGCCCCTCTTCTTCCTCAAGCCCTCTTCGGCTTACCTGCGGGAAGGCTCGCCCATCCTGCGGCCCTACTACTGCACCGACCTGCACCACGAAGTGGAGCTGGGGGTGGTGATCGGGAAGAGAACCCGGGCCGTGTCCCAGGAGGCTGCTATGGAGCACGTGGCAGGCTATGCCCTGTGCCTGGACATGACCGCTAGGGACACACAGAAAGAGTGCAAAAAGAAGGGTTTGCCCTGGACCTTGGCCAAGGCCTTCAGCACATCGTGCCCGGTCAGTGAATTTGTGCCCAAGGAGAAGATCCCAGACCCTCACAAGCTGAAGATCTGGCTCAAGGTGAATGGACAGTTGAGGCAGGAGGGAGAGACCTCCTCTATGATCTTCTCTATCCCGCACCTGATCAGCTACATCAGTGAAATCATCACCCTGGAGGAAGGAGATTTGATTCTGACAGGATCTCCCAGTGGAGTCGGGTCTGTAGAAGAAGATGATGAGATAGAGGCAGGGATAGGTGACATCCTGTCCATGCGGTTCAAGGTGGCCCAGCAAACACGTCGGTCCTAAGCAGCAGCTGGGCTGGGACCTCTGTCTGCAGAGGAAGAGCCTTTTGGGGAGCACTGCGTGAACAAAGAGATGCACTGCACCCACTGTCCTGTGTGTTAAATTTACATGGCCTGAGCATCTCCTGGACTCCTGGTTATCAAAGCTGTGCTGTAGCTCATGAAGACCTGTGGCTAAAACAACCCCATTTCCACTTTGGCCTCCAGAGAGGCTGTAAAGCTGAGGTTAGTCCAAGAGTCCAACCCAGCCTAAGGCAGCTGGTTGATACCTAAACTGTACCTTGGAACTTTGTATTCAGCTGTGCTGGGGAAATAAGAACAGTAGGAAGTACAGCAGCAGGACTATTGCTGTGTGCTCTTCTGTTCTGTTCATGCTTTGAGCTTTGCCAATGTCCTGTCTCAAAATAAACATAAGAACTGAAGTATTAAAATGGTGATGTACAGAAAGTCATCTGTGGTCTTGATAAGGCCTGCAGCTGTCCAGCTTCTGTGTCCCACCCACACTTGGATTCCTTGCACAGGTGCAATAAAGTGGCAAGAATGCAGTTTATAAAGTGGAAAAATAAAAGTTTAACCTGAGGACTGGAATCCACTCAGGGCATGCAGCTACGTGCTCTGGTGACTGTCGGCGTGGGGTCTTTCCAACTTGGGGTGCTGCAGGGGCTCTCATGGGTGATCAGGCAGCAGTGAGAGGTGCTCACTCCTGGCTGCGGCAGCCAGCACTGGCTCCTTGTCGTCACTGGGAGCTGCAGTAGGAAAGAACTGTAATGAGACACAAGAAAGCCTGTGAGAAAGGAATCTGGAAAATGCTGCATGTTTGTATCATTACAGACTAAAACTGTAGATATTTGGTGGTTTTAACTGTAATTTTTACAGTAGGCCACCATTATGAAAGTTGTACAACAGATTCACATGTTGGGAGGGGCTCATTTCAGTGGCTTTATTTCCAAGATTTAGGGTTATATTTTGCAAGTATATGAGCTTCGAGGCAGTGTGCTTAAAGAAGGATGTAGCTGCTTTTCACATTTCTTTGGAAGATATCCTAAGGCACAACAGTTGTGCATGCCCCCACAACACCACCTCCACCAGGCACTAATCCTGCCAACATATACACTGCAGATTGCTGCCTTTTAGCTTCAGTGAGTGGCTTAAAAGCACGTGTAAAAGGTCTCTGTTTGATAATTATAAATACTATGGCCTAAGGAACTGAGGCCAGCTGAAACACAACGTTTAGCCATGACATCTAAATAGAGCAAGCCCCTGGCTTTTAGAAGTCAAAGTGCCCCTTGTATGCTTTGAAAGTGAGAACTGTTGGAAATCGACTAATATAGAAATAGATTAACAAACAAACCAGCCCCTGGAGAATGGGAAAATGTACACACCTGGGTTCTTTATGTTCAGCCAAGAACATCTATGCTGGAGACGAATCTTGTCATGCCTGCCACCTACAGTCTTAGCCTGAGTATCTGATTGTCAGACGTCCCTGCTGATTACTTTGTTCTAAGAAAACTTGGTCTGCCCTGGAGAAAAGAGACTTGCAAAAGTCTTTGCTATTTCCCTTGCATGCCTCTGCAGTTACCAAAAGCTTTGTGTTTGGACTCACCAACATATACCACAAACGCATCAGTATTTGAAAGTGGGCCTTTATTTACTTCAATAACACAGAAGTAGCACAGCAGTCAAAAAATAAAGTTCAAGAGATCTGTCTGGTACCAATTGTTATTTCTGATTTTTCAAAACTTTCCCATAGTTCCCAAACAGTGAACAAGGCTTCCACCTCCCTTCTAAAGGGTTGAATTCAGTAGAACTAACTTTTAGGCTGTGGACCCACTACACTTTTCCAAGTGCAATCATCTTAAAAACACCACAGAAGCCCAATTACAACAAGTAGTAATGCATATTCCTTAGCAAAATACGGCGACAACAACCTTCTACCTCTAAAAACATAGTGAATAGATGGCCTTTTCCCAGCTGTTACCAAGCCACGTGCTGCAGCTTCTTTCCCAGCAGGCTCTGACTTGCTTCTATAGGATTCGCTAGTTTGCACGAGAGTATATTTGCTTTCAGACCAGTTCTCCAATTGGGTGACAAGGTAATCTGCAAAAATGAATAAAGGACTTTGTTTTTACTGGTATATCAATGAACAGATATTATGTTAAGTATCTCTTAGTACCAAAGCAAAATGCTTTCCTGAAAGCAGAAGCAGAGGGTGAAGTGGATTCAAGAGTAAGAACAGTTTTGCTAAGAAGAGGAAGTTTTAAAACAGGGAATCAGCTTAGGGTTATCCTAAAATAGGCAGTTCTATGAAAAAAAGGAATCCAATATAGGGTAAGGCATATTGGAATATTCCAAATATGTACAAAAACTGCTGCTTATTTTGAAAAATTCAGCAGAATTGACATGGAATTTTTCAGTATTAAACATACTACCTAAAATAATTTACAACAGTAGCTGTTTTCCATTAGATACTAACTTTAAAATAAATCTTGCTCCGTTCTAGAAGAAGTTGCCATTTCAATGCAGTCCTCTTGTCTTCTGGTAGAGTGAGGAACTCCTGGACCTGTTAATAACATGACATCACAGCACACTTGAGCACATAGCTGTAACATCTCCGCAATAAAATGATGATGAAAAGAGGATTTAATGCATTTTTAAGCTGTACTTTTCAATTTTAACACAGTCTTTGATACATGTACAGAACAGATAAATCACAGTGAGTTGCAGGGGATTGCAACCATCTTCTCTGGGAAGTGTTGATCAATTAAAGTAATATTCTGAGTAGGGTATTCATCACTCTTACATGTAACAAGTTTCTTATCAGCAGCCAATGACTTCTACATTTTTACTGACATGTATATGAAGAACATGCACATATAAAGAACAGTTAGAGGTATTTGTAAGATTCATTTCATCTGAGCTGTGGAGCAAGATAAGAACAACCTCATTTATTTCTACTTACAGTGCAGCCTAAGGTTTCCTCAGCTATGCAGTCAGAGAGGTAACAAGAATAAAGAGTGCCTGTATGATCTGTCAGATCAACAAGGATGTCAAAGCTCACAAAGGTGGACTTTGAATCTGGAGAGATGTCACCACAGAAGTTGCACGTGTTTGACGTTTCATTCACCACAAAACGGCACACTGAGCTGAAACACAGAAAGGTAATTAGTGCATGCAAGTCCTTCTTGCTTGAGCCTGTTCTTTAGGCTGAGATTGCCCAAGAGACTCTTAAAAAATAAATAGATCAAATCATCATCTACACTTTCAAGTCCATGTGAGAAAAAAAAAACAACCTCTTTCTCTTTCCTTCCTCCAGGACCAGAAAGTCCTTCATAAAGCCAGCTCCTCTTCCTTGCTGATGCTGTAAATTCTATGCAACAGAAATTCAGATGCCAACTGCTAGAGCTGCTTTATTTTTTGTCCAGAACTAGACTAAATACCGTTCTATCTAATTTGGGTCAGGGGAAGAAGAAAAAAACATTCTAAAACACAAATTTAGAAGAAACAGTTGCTTACCATCTGCTGCGAATAACTTTAGATACATTATCATCAATGTCCAGCATGGAAATGTAACCATAAATAATGCCAAACACTGGTTCAGGTTTTCCATCACTCTGTAAAGCTTTTTCTTTCAGCTGCTTCACAGTATAAACATCAACTATAGTCTCCACTACAAATTTAAAAGACATGTGAGTCTAAGAAGAAACAACACAGAAGAGCAGCAACATGAAAAGGACCTTAAGAAGAGATGATCAAAAGCATCAGAAAAGCAGTGCACATCTTCCTTTTGGAGAAGGCCCATCATTGTGGGAG